AAAAAAAAAAAAAAACGTAGGATCCTTGCTTAAAATCGTGGTGCAAAGTAGTGGGGTTGACTTTCACTATTGCAGTGATTGTTACTAAGTGAAACGCACTATGGATAATATGGCATGTGTTCTTGCAAAAATTGAAGTTGTGGTTCGCACTACTCTGTGTATATACATATATCCGCTTATTGTGTGATCCTCGGGAAGTTAGTATCACAAAGTTGATCTCTGATAGTCCTCGGTTTAAGTTGAGTAGGAAAAGATTTTATGAATCTAGTGTATCTTGTGTGCGATTTTATTTTATTTTTCATACTAGGCATATATTGCATAAGATTTCCTTCTTTGATTGAATCACTTGGGCATTAAAAAATTTGTGAGGGAATTTATTTTTGGATGATGAAATCTTATTCTTCCTAATTTTGAATTAGTTGGACACATGTGTTAGTGTGTTAATGGGTTTGTGTGTTCAGTTTTGATGGGAACGTTCTTACTGCATAGTATCCATCCTTTCCCTTGATTTTTAAACCTTACCCATTACATCCTGACATTTTTCATTCATTCTGCCCTCACTATATATCTTCATTTTTGGAACCTGAGAACCTCATTTTCATTTGTCTTTCTCCATGAATTATTCGTTTAAAAATTTGTGTTCCTACATCATTTTCTAATGTGCTTCTGAAACACTTTGATTGATGGCAAAGGCCTGGAGAAGAGATGGACAGCATATCAGCGATTAGAGATCAGTTCAAGCAACGTCTTTTGTCTTCGGTCATCTTTATTTTTCTCATTTGATGTTCTTACTCAGGGGGAGATTTGCCTTTGGCATTTCAGTCTAAAAAGGGGGAAAAATAGGATGTTTCTGAAGATGTTCAGGATTATATTCTAGTTGTTTGCTTCTGATTATTTGTGGTTGCTTTTTTTGACATGGTTCTACAGGATGTAAGAACATGTATGTTTTGATGTTTGATTGTTTTGTCTATTCTGACAGGGGGAGATGCATTGGTCACTCTATTTGACTTAGGTTCTGATAGTTTGATGTCTTTTGATTGCTCTGATCATAGTCCTCATAGT